ATAAAATAAAAATATGTGTGATTTTTGGGTCTGCTAATTCATTCAGTCTAAAAAGAAAAACACAGATAATTTGCAACTGCTGTTTGACTTAAATTAAATTTAGAGATCAGGCAATACCATATTAGGGACTTTGTAAGTCTAAGATTTCTTGGGCTCAGTTTTTTGCACTTGCTTTTGACACAGGCTCAGACTTGTTCTGATCTGTTATGCAGGCATGGCAAAAGTTTTGTGATTGGTATTTTCAATTCGGATAGCCTATCAGATCTCAGTGTTCTGACAGAATTCCAGCTGACTCTCCTCTAAAACACACACAATTAAAGGGCGTGGACAGGTATGCAAAACCCCTTTAACCGACTTGTGCCTGTCACAGTATGTTAAACCCTTCCCTACTCAACCCAAGAGATTTTGCAGTGAAAGGCATTTTCCATAACCGCCAGAGCAGAACATGACTGTCTGCATATGCTGTTAAACAGTCCCTGGCTTCCAACGTTTGACAAGAACAATTAGTTTTGCATCTAAAAAGAGAATGCTGAGCTATTCTGCATGACTTTGTCAATCTCCTGACACTCCACCCTCCCCAGCTCAGCATCCCTCCGAGTAAAGCAAGCAGAGCATTTCTAAGAGGTGTTGTTATAATTAGGGTGATTATAATGGGGTGGGGAGATACTGTCAGTTGCCAAGGATTTCTGTGTAATATCAGTGAGAACGTCCTGTGAAGGAGAGACTCGCAATGAGTGGATTTTCACTGCATTATTCTCACCTAATGTTTACTCACATAAGCTTATAAAAAAGTGGCAACACATTTTTCAGCCCAAACCAGAGAGGTTCTGAATGAAAGACTACCAAGAGTGCAAATGCCCTCAAAACCAGCCTTCGCATCAGAAGCAGGCTACGTTTTACTTTTTCCAGAACAGATTTCTCTTTGTTCCTTCTTCAGGATAGAGAAGGTGAGAGAGGAAGCAACTTCCTTGGATCAACGTGTATTTGCCTCCTCTGCTCTGACCCTGTGTGTGTGCCGCTTGTGCTCACGCAAACTCCCACTGACTTCAGTGAGAAAACATGCGGGATTGAAGCAAGATTGGCTGCTTCAGCTTTCCCTCTGCATTCTTGTGCTTCACTGCATGCACTGCAAGAAGTCCCATTAGCTCGGACTGTAACGCTTCCCAAGGCCTGGATCCGTCTTTATATCTCTATCCTGCAGAGCACTGGGAACCCTGTTGGCACTTTGCTAATACATGCCATAAACATATATAATAAATGACTGACGTAATTTCACATCAATCTCCTTGTAATAGCACACACTCCATTACACGAAGAAAGCCCTTTCTTGCTATTTAAGACTGCTTTTCAGAAAACGTCAGCATAACCTGTCAGAATAACAGCTGCGTTAACGATCCAGCCGTCCTCACACAGGTTTGATCTTGCCTTGGAATTTAAGTAGCTAGTGTTGTCTACAAAAGATTAACAAGGCTGTGCCACTGTACTTTTGGTTTGATGGCATGTTATCCTAGATGAAAGATCAGACATGTTTTCCAGTGCCTTGGCAAGAGAGAATAGCAAGATCTAATTGATTTATGTCTCTTCAGTAATCTCTCTGCCTGTCCCTACACTGTCAACAACAACAAAGATAGCTAATCATTCTGAACTACGGCTAGGAGCTGCCTCTTAAACCATTAAGGGAGCTCCAGAGCCTCACTGCCAACTTGATTATTCTAATCCAGTACATTCAATTTAAAAGGCATCGATGGAGAGCAGTGCTGCAAGACTGAGGTAAACGATTCCTTGATGTCAATGATAAGAAGAGAAAAGTTGAACGTACATGGTAGTAGTTCTCTATCTGCAGTTTCTGTACAAATAGGGTAAGGGTAGAAAAGATGTCCTTTTTCCAGTGGATAGGGGATCATTCTGAAAGCTGAAAAGAAAACAATACCGTGCACAAGTTACTGTGAGTGTGGCAGTCACTGGACACACTTAACTATATTTATCATTTTGAAAAACACACACAGACAAAACAACATTTATATTTGGTTGTAAACAGCACATACATTGCTTAATGAAATGCTGAAATATAAATCTACACTTAGCTTTTAATCCTGCAAACATTTATGTTTATTTTTATTCTTGGGAGAAGGTTTCATGCCCATCAAGTGAGACCACATTACAAGTACATACATAAACGTTTGCATGGTCAGAGCCGATTGTCCTTACAATTCCATAGCCAAATTTAGGCATTTAGTTTTATGCTTTTAGGCTGCAGAATTTTAAAATTTCAGGGGAAAGAAATGTATCTGATATAGCAGGTATAGCCTACAAAAATGACCAGCCAAGCTGGTGAATTCAGGCCAATACTCACAAGCTCTATGCATCAAACATAACAGAAGTATTGCATGGAAAAAAATACATTACTTTTTTCCCATCACACTCCAGCAAACCAGGTAACACTGATGACTCAAGCCCAGAGAATCAGTTTTCCAACACAGTAATGTTTTCATTTTATATTTGGCAATCAAAGATTAATACTGAATTATTAAAACCAGGTTCCTCACATGCATTCTTTTTAAATGTAGCAGATCAAGTCAGGTTTCCAATATAAATCTTCAGGTCATGGATTAAATAATACTTTATCTTATGCATTTTTAAAATTGAAAATAATAACAGAGAGGGAGGGAAATGGATTACTAAATCTGGATGGTGATGATGTCATAGGCCATCTGAGTGTGCTTTATGGAAACATCAGAATACTTGACTGAATTATAGCTCTGCAATCAAGGCATCCTTTTCCATTATCCTATATATTATTCTCACTGTTAAAATGTCATCAACATGTTATTCTCACTACTCCTATGAACATCAGTCACTGAAGCAATATTTTCCTGAACAGATGTCCTAGAAGCACTGTGTATTTTAGATGTTAGGTACAGCCCACTGCCACACGATAACACTCCAGTATCTCTTGGATACCACGAGGAATTGGTTTAAAATACACAACACCCCAATACTTTCAGTTGTGCATCCTGCATTTGAAATAACGTTAGCTGTACTTTTTGTGCAATTATGTGAGTGTATTTATTCTTGAATACTATGTTTAAAGCGACAGTAAAGAAGGCAGAAATCCTCAAAGACTGTAAACCAACCAGGCTGTAACACTCTTCCAATGTTAACCCTCTCCTCGACAGCACCCCAAAAAGCCAAGCACAAATACAATTATGCAAGCCTCATATGATCTTCACATGCAACAAACTTGACCATGTACAAAAACATATGTGGAGGGATGTTCAGTGTTCATTACTTCAAAATCACTAACACAAGATTTTCCTTCCAATTTGGCTTAATATTTCAACAGATAATCAAGCTTCTTCTGCCTCATCCTAAATCATAGCAGTATTAAGATTCTAATCAAAATAAAAAGGGACAGTAAAGATGTTGCTTTTACAAAACAAGTGAAAAATGTCTGAATAGATTCTGCTGAATTTAAACAGTCCTCTTTGACACGAGATCAAATATCGAACATTTACAGCAAACTAGTTTGTTTAGCAATGTCATCAGACATGGAAGAAAGTGCTCTGGTCCATCTGTATCAGTTTGTGTTTACGTAGGTGTTCCTCTGCCTTACTCTTACAGTATTATCTGATCCTATTTTACATTAATAAATTCAGGCAGCACAGAGGCAGTTTGCCACTCAACCGTATGCTTGTTGTAAAAGCTACTGTAGCATGTAAAAGCTACTGTAGCATCCGAGAAGCCCTAGGTTCTGCTTCCTAATGCGGGCAATAGGAGACATGACACGAGTTTAGAAACTGGCAGTGACAAACAAGCACCTCAGGCTCTTTTGAACTGTGGCGACACTTGAAACTACAGGACTTCTGTACAGAGCACCTGGGACAAACCCAGAGCGACATGTCATGTGGTGTCACTTGGGCTTTTTTAGTCATACCATGAATAAAACTGTACTTTGACTCATTGAATGAAGACAGAGAAGGAAACAACTCATCGAACAATTCCGGTTTGATCATGGTCACTATTTTTACAACCTTGTTTTTGTCAATTTGGGAAACACACTTGAGAATTTCAGAGTTAAAGATATCAAAAAGACATTTCTGCATAAATTTTGTTAGAGGCTATCTTAATTAGGAGTGACCTTATTCTCCTCAGAAGCCTTCAAAATGTACCCCCCAAGGGACTGACTGACTGTACTTAATCTGGCCCAATTCCCACAAGGTCAGAATTGAACAGTGTACATATGTGGGCATGAAAATCCTACACTCAAACTGCTAAAGTGAGACTTGTGGTTATTTAAGCACACTGACAGAACAGCACACTTTAAAGACGTGGCAAGTACCTAAGTACCTAGAAAGAAAGTGAGGGCAACTGACCATGTATTGCGTGTAGACTGCTGGTTAGAACTAGTATTTAATTAAAATTTAATTTCTGTGTCATGTTTCCATTGGTTTTAACTTACAATTGTGCTGAGATGCTAAGGAAACTTTTTGCAAGTAAAGGACATAAGAGCAACATACACTCATTCACTACATTCATAAAGAATATTACCCAGACTAACATATGTACCAGAAGTTGTGTTTATTGGACTAGATACTGGTGAAGACATTAAAACCCATTGGAGTCTTTATGTATGAGCAAAATCTGAACAAAATTCGTGAGGACTGGTGCACGGCTCATCTCTCTCCGAAATCACTGTGCCAAATGAATTATGGATTTTTCCTTAAAGGTTATGCAGCAACAATAATTTACATCTTTACAGGCCACTATGCAAATATTGGCTAACAAAGCACGTATTCAGACCACTGTGGAGGTAATAAGGAGAGGAACCAGTTAACGTAGTCAGATGGGAATACCCCACACTGCCTTCAGGCACAGAAGACTAGATTTCCCACGTGACAGGAGGACTGCAGGGCAGTCAGCCTTCTGTGCCAAAAGCTGGTCCTTGTAAACAGCCCCTTAAGGAGTGTCCCCAGTCTGACAAAGCGAAAGACCTATCTAGGATTCCCTGTAAAATACTGTTCCACAATGTTGGGATAATGGGCCTTGGGCTAAAGGACTTCTGCAATCATCTGGAAGAGAAGAAACACTAAGTAAAAGCAAACTACTGAAAACAAGCCACTGGGAAGGAAGCTACAACAGAGAAAATAATAGACTGGAAGAAACGACAGGGTAAGAGTAAGCAGGTAGGACAGAGAACAATGCAGCAGAGCAAAGCCCAGGTGGCAATAGTATGGATTACTGAGCAAGGTGTTCTATACCTCTAGAAATAAAGCCTTGCTTCCTCTGGGAGCCCACACTGCAAGTTAGGCAAGTTCAGGCCATTTAATACGGTAACTGAGGCAGTAAGTCACTTTTACAACAGAGGTATTAAGTGCATTTCTGTAGGAATTATCATGGTGACAAATGGTATCTGTTATAACAAACCTAAATGAGAACAGCAAATGGAGAGGCTAAAAGAGAACAGAAGAAAGCAGAGCAGAAAAGGGGAGCCAGATTACAGAAAGAAAAATCTGCATTAAAAAAGCCCATAAAAGCTGATTCTAAATGGTGCTTTTAAATTCTCTGGAACCTGAAAAGAGTACATCTCAAAGACAGCATAAGATAACTTAGGTTAGAAGGTTAGTATACAACTCCAATCTCCTACTAAAAGCAGGATCATTTTCAAAATTAGGTCTGGTTGGTCAGGGCCACGTCCAGTTGAGCTCTAAGTATCTCTGGGGATGGAGATCCCATAGCCTACCAGCCACTTGTTCCAGTGCATCATCACTCTCGTTCTGAAAATATTTTCCTCATGTCTAAACGAAATTTCTCTTGATGCAGCTTGTGTCTATCACCTCTCATCTTTCTGCTGTACCCTTCTGAGAAGACTTTGACTCTGTCTTCCATATTATCTCTCCATTGGGTGGCGGAAGACTGAATCCCTCCTTCACCTACCACAAGTCTTTTCCAGGTTGAATAAAACCAGCTTACTCAGCGTCTTTTCCTACTTCACGTGTTCCAGCCCATTATACATCCTAGTGGTCCTCCACTGGACTCACTCCAGTTTGTCAATTAAATATTAACAAATAGTATAATCCAAAACAGTATTTAATGGTTTTGCTTTTTTTTTTTTTTTTTCCTGCTTATAAGGCACTTTCATAATCTTCCAATATCAAAGCATTCAAATAATGACAAACAAATCTCTACAACTCTGGAATGAGGAAGGTAAATTATTATCCCCTTATCCATGAGTAAGAACATTTGTCATGAGGAAGATGGGAAATTTTGTTCAGTGTTACACAGAAAACAAAATCCAAGAATTCAGAACTCTTTTTCTGATTCAAATAAAGTTTGCATTTTCAGTTTGAATTTCAAGTGTTTCAATGCTGGTGAGGATATAACTGACCTCCAAAATTCCCACATACTATATGTCACAAAAAGCTGTTATTTTCTTATGACATTCAATGACAACATTTGATTAGGTCCTTTGTAGGAAAGAGAATTACTTACTGCCTTCCCATGTACAGTGTAAGAGATTCAGTGCCCCCTCTACTCTTTTCCAGTGTTGAAGATGAAAGAAAGCATATGCTATTGCTTCACTGTCCCCTCTCTTCAGAATGTGTTCAGGGGGCAGAATTAAGCTTTTCATTTCTAGTAGATACTGCAATAAAAAAGCAGAGCACAGTTATTTCAGAGGTAATAAAAAACACAAAAAAGCTGTCTGCAATTCTACAATGCACACTGAAAGGTCTATTTCCCTAAAGTACTTTCTGTCATAAGTGTTTCATCAAATGTGTAATATTATCGACTGCACTTGAAGATAATTATTGAATTATTCCCAAAGACTAAGATATGCTGACAGACGGTTAATGTGCTGCTCTTCAGCTGTACTAGGGAGACCACAGAGAATTTCAAAATGAGATGTCTCTCTTATCAAAGACGACGGAAAAAAAGGCTCAAAGCAGAAAAGAGAATCTAATTACGAGACCTTTTTAATTAAAAGCATCTATAATAAAATGAAGAAGACATTAAGCAGTTTGATGCACACAGTCCTTCTATAAGGAAACATGCAGCACTCATAGGTTGTACACAGGTTGTTTATCACCACATTGCTATCAACTGGCAATCAATATGCAAGGTTGGCAGCCACAAAGTAGCTATCAAGGAGCAGCAAAGTAAAAAAAGTGACAAAATGTAAGAAATATCTGATTTCAGGGAAAAAATGTATTGGATGTTTAAACTTGCTACTTGAAATAGTTAGTGAAAATGTTATGAAAATGAAAAGCGTCACTGACTGAACCCACAAGCAATTCTCCCCGTTACTGGATCCCCCGTAACAGAAGTGGATGAAACACATGGAGAGTTTACGCTGCAGGAGAAGATAGAGGTCCTGGGCAATAGTCAAGCAGCTGATTTTTCCTCCTTCACCAGCCCATAAATTAGACCACTACCAGTTCAGCAGACATTTTTTCATCACTGGTATTACTGCATCCCAGTTAGTAGAGGGGAAAGATATAGCGGAGGGGAAAAATACACCCCTTGTTGGCATCCTTTACCGGGAAAGGAATGACAGACAGGAATCACAGGCTGCCGAATCAACTCCTGTTTGTCAGCTGTCAGTTGTGCGCTGACTGCTCCTCACCAGCACAAGGAAACTGTCGCCCTCCTCCAGGACGCCAGAAAGCTCACGTTCTCCCCACCAGACTACTCAACACAAGGGGTAGCAGGTGAGTCAGGCAGCAGACTGTCAGGCCCTAACATGAGGTTCGGAAAGGAAAATCATAGCTAACCATTGGCAAGAAGAGAGTAGGCGTGCAGCCCCTCTACTTTGCCAAGGCCTCCGTGCCTACGCACCAGCCTCTGCTTCGGTCTGGAAGGAGGAGGACTGCAGGAGCTACAGACTGGTAACAACCCAGTGCAGGCACTCAAGAGGAGGCAACTTGACACCAGCGGTGAAACAGAGGCATGGGTGGTGTTAACCTTCCACCGCTCCTGTTACACACTGACTTTTGTGAACAGGGGACTGCAGGACGTGTTTGAGCTCCTGCTCAGTGTGTGAGTGGTACAGAAAAGAGGAGAAAAGAGGGCAAAAGGAATAAAAGGAAGAAGAAAGGCCAGAGGGAAATGAGCACCAACAGCATGATGTCACGGAGAGCATTCTAGAGTTAGTGAACCCTTCACCTGAAGGAGCCTGGAAGGAGCTAGCAAACAGGTAAAGGATTTGAAGAGACCACGATCAAAGCAGAGAATTATCAACCCTGGGAAACAGATAAATACTTCAAAGAGGAACGAGAAATCACATGTGTTTCTGATGCAGGTAGCAGTATTAAAGGAGGAGAAACTGAATTAGCAGTGGTAGTAATATGTGTAATACTTGGATTTTCTCTAAAGACTTTCAGAAAAATATGAGAGTGCTGCAGAGCAGGTGGATTAATGGAGGAAGTTGCAATTTAGTAGGCAGGACAGGGGATTAATAGTGTCAGAGAGCACAGAATAAAGACCTGACAAGAGGGAGGGAGCTGCCAGGCTTAGAGATACAGCAAATGTTCTTATTCATTGCTCTAACGGATGTGCCACCCTTTTAAAATCACGGATGTGCCACCCTTTTAAAATCACGCTTCACCTGTTGAGCAGAATGGAATACAGCTGCAAGAGCTGCAGGTTTCTATCTGTTTTATTAATTTAGTACATAATCCTTATTTCCATATTTTTTGGTGAAAGTAAATGAGAAATTAAGTTCTCAATATTTAAACATTTCAATCAAAGAAAAAAAAAACAACCAACCCCAGGGCCATGTCACTATTTGTAGGAGCACTGAGATGAAAACAAGTTCTTTCAATTCTTATGTATTGCCTGTTATCAGCAATTAAAACCAAACCAAGTGGAAACACCAAATGGAAGGCTATATCTTCACACTTGCAAATTGCTCTTAGTCCTCATTCAGTTGTGTTGACTTTTCAGTCTGCATTTTTCTCTAGTTTCAGAAAGAAAAACATATTTTTAGAAGTTCCTCAGATCAAAAATGTGAAACACGCCTCCCTCATTACTCAATGACAGCTACTTTCCCCCCAGAAAAGTCCATAATTTTGGTTTGGTGATATTCAAGAAGACCCACACACAAAGCTGATGGGTGGCTCAAGTCTCATTTGGACCTCGTAAATAGTTTTTGGTTTATGTGCAAAGGTCAGCCACAACTTTTGGGCATACAAGCTGCCAACGAATTTATTCTGGAGGCATTTCCAGCA